TGCTTCCGCAGCGACGGGATCTCGTAGCTGATGCTGCGCACCAGGAGGCTGGCGAGCTCGGCTGCACGGCGGAGGTGGGGGGAAACAGGGGCTGAGAGGCAGGGCCAGACACCCAGGAGGTCCTCAGGGTGCTGCAGCCACCTCGGCTGCTTTCCCCAGGCCATGCATGGGACTTGGGAGCCCAGCGCATCCTGCCCCACTTCCCCTGTGCACCCCATCTTCATCCCAGTTTGGAGACTGAAAGGGCCCCCCTCCAAAGGGCTCCCTCCGGAGCTGCCTCACCCAGGTAGGTGTTCTCCTTCTCGTAGAGGGACACGATCTCCTGCCAGTCCTGAGGAGGAAGGAGAAGGTGAGGATGAGCGAACACCAGCCCGTCACCCCAGGCCCCCACGGTCCACGCTCACCTTCATGCGCTGCGACGAGTAGCGCCCAAAGAGGTTCTTGGTGGAAGCCTCAGTGCCCTTGAGGATCTCCACGATGCGCAGGCAGTGGAAGTAGTGCAGGTCTGCGATGGAGGGAGGGATGCGGTCACTGGGGTCTCTGTCACGGGGGTGTCCGTGTCCCTCCCCAGCCCCAGGCTGCACTCACAGGCCCCATCCAGGAGCTGCTTTATCTCCTGGTTCTCCGGCATGTCCTGGATGGCCGCGTTGATCTTCCCCCGGATGGCCAGGACCTGGCTCTGCCATTTCAGGTTGCAGTGCCTCCTGTCCACCAGCCAGTCTGCGGTGCAGGGGTCAGCATGGACAGGGGCACTGGGGGGGGGTTCAACCCGATGGGGTCACCCCCCCCCCCCCCCGAGGCTCCCCCCAACACAGGGGTAAAGCCCCGGCTCCATCCCAAGCTCCGGGAAGGGCTGGAGGGGAAAGGGGGGGATCAACCCAGCACGGCACCGAGGATACGAGTGACCGGACCCCCCCGACCCCATCCCACCCTGTGGGGGTGCCCGTACCCAGCAGCTTCCCGGTCTGGATGTCGATGGGCACGTTCTGGTAGTCCTGGGGAGAGACCTGCGGGGGGGGGGGGGGTGAGAGGCGGCGGATGGAGCAGGGACGGGGATGGAGCAGGGCCCCTTCTCCCCTGCCCCGTCCCTGTCCCCGGTCCCAGTCACGATCCCGATCCCGATCCTGGTCCCGATCCCAGTCCCAGTCCCGATCCCGATCCCGATCCCGGCCCCGATCCTGGTCCCGGTCCCGATCCCCATCCCCATCCCGATCTCGATCCCGGCCCCGATCCCCATCCTTGTCCCGGTCCCGGTCCCGGTCCCCGTCCCCGTCCCCGTCCCCGTCCCCATCCCCATCCCCATCCCGGTCCCGGTCCCTACCTGCATGATGCCACCGCTCCAGTTCCGCTGTCCCCTACTTCCCTGCTCGCCTCAGCCAATCCCCAGCCACGGGGCCGTGCATTTCACCCAATCAAAACGCGCTCCGTCTAAAGGACCCCGCCCCGTCAGACCAATCAGAAGGGAGCGGCATAGCGACAGTGCCACTCGCCCGCGCTCCGATTGGCTGGGATCGGGCGGGGGAGGAGGCGGCGCTGACCAATCGGAAGGGCAGGGAGGCAGCGGGCCCCTCGCGCGTGCGCAGTGCGGAGCATCCCTCTGGTTGATCCCGGGGCAGATCCCATGGGGATCCCCGGGTGCCCCCAGCGCAGATCCCGGATCCCTCAGGGACCCCAGCACAGAGCCGGGATCCCCATGGGGTCCCCACCTGCTCCTCGGGGGATCCTGGGTCCCCAAAGCAGATCCCAGATCCCGCAGAGACCTCTGGGTGCCGCAGCACAGAGGCACCCAAGCAGGTCCACAGGTGCTATAGGGATCGCCAGATCCCCCCAGAGGGTGCCCCAGATCTCTCCGGGATCCCCTGGTGCCCTTCATGGGATCCTTGGGGATGCCTTTGCAGGGAAGGACCCAGAGCAGGTCCCAGATCCCTCCGGGATCCCCAGATGCCCTTCATGGGATCCTGGGTCCCTTGGGGATGTCTTTGCACAGAGGGACCCAGAGCAGATCCCGGATCCCTCGAGGATCCCCAGCCACCACTCAGGGGATCCTGCATCCCTTGGGGGATCCCTTTGCGGCAAAGGGGGGAGGACCCGACGCAGATCCCACATCCCTCAGGGATGCTCTTGGTGCTGTTCCCACCGGGAGCAGCCACCCCAGGATGCCCACGGGCTCCCTGCGTGCGTCCCTATGGGATGTGCCCGCGGGGCAGCGGGAGGAGGCAGGAACCGGTCTGGCAGCCGCTGGTTTCGGCTGATCCCACCGAGCCCGCTGCCGCCTCATGCCCTTAACCCCCGGCTGCCCGCAGCGCTCCGTGTGCCCGCCTCACAGCGGCCCTCGGGGCAGGGGTAACCGGTACCACGGGCAGCGCCGGGAGCCACCGGGGCCGGGGCTTAGCCCCGGGTTCCCCCCCCCACTCCCCGGGTCATGAATATTCAGCCCTGGCCCGGCCCCGCTGTTTGCTCACGCAGGAGGGGTTTGGTCGCGGGTTCACCTTGACCGGCAGCCAACGGGGCAGCGGCAGGTACAGATCCCAACCGGAGCCATCCCGGCACCGCCGGAGCCGGGCGGCTGCAGCGGACACCGGGAGGCGCAGGTACCAGGGAATGGGGTGTCCGTGGTGGGGAGCGGGAGGTGGGAATCCTCAGCGCGTGGTTTGGTGACAGATCCCACCCGGTCCTGGCAGGACGGGGCATGGAGCTGAGAGGGAAGGGGGGGACGGGACACAGCCCACGAACCCTCCCCGGGGGCACCGGTGTCCACCTGGGGTGGTGGTCGCAGTCTTGGTGTCCTTGTCCCCTTATCCCGGCACCTGAAAGCGATGCCAAAGGCACCGTCCGGGAGGAGCTGAGTGCTGCGGGGTCGTGGAGCCGTGCTGGCCCCCAGGACAGGGATGGGGCGCTGGGAATCCCTTTGCTGCAGGGGATCCCGTTTGGATCCTGTGCTCGGGAGCCGCCTTCCCTGGTCCCTGCCCTGGAGCCACACTTGGCACTGGAGCCTTCCTGGATTGCCGGAGCCTTCCGGGATGCAGCCGGGGCCTCTGCAGCAGGGCTGGGCATGGGGCAGGGACCCATGGCAGGGACCCCAGCACCTCCACAGCTCCCATCTGCTTCCCAGTTGCTGTTTGCTCACTGGGCATCCACTCCTGTGGCTGATCCGGCAGCTCCCAGTGGATCGAGTCCCTGGAGCTTGGCAATGCCCAAATCCCAGGAGCATCCCTCCCGGCACCTCCTGCCCTACATCCCCTATGAGCACAGCCAGCGGGAGAACCACCTTTGGCGAACAGGGCCCAAATCAGCCCCCCATATCCCTCGCCCATCCCGCTCCTTGGCTTGGGAATGCCGAGGGACACCCGGGGAAGGATTCCATCCCCTCTCTCCATCCCAGGGCGCAGCGGCGATGGCCGAGAGCCACAGCTGGTGGAAGCTGACGTTCCTGCGCAAGCGGCAAGCGGCACCCACGGTGCTGTACGAGAGCCCCGACAGCCTGGGTGCCGGCACCGGTGCCGGTGCCAGCCAGGAAGGGCCGGGCCCGGAGGGGCCGCCCGGGTTGGCGGCGCGGCTGGAGAAGCTGGTGGACAAGAGCAGCAAGGGCAAACACGTCAAGGTCTCCAACTCGGGGCGCTTCAAGGAGAAGAAGAAAGTGAGGGCGACGCTGGCCGAGCATCCCAACCTCCGCGCCGGCGGCGAGCAGGAGGAGAAGTGACCCGGATCATCGTCGCCTCCCGGCAATGCCGGCCCATGGGGATTCGGAAGGGGAAATGAGCGGCGTTGGTTGAAGGGAGAAGCAAAGACCCTGGGTAATCGCAGCCAGAGGGAGAACTGGGAATCAGAGCCAGGCTCCTGGACTGGAGGAGACCCCCGAGCACTGACTGGTTCGTACTGGGATGAGGATGCTCACCCTGGTCGCTTGCCATGGAGCATCGGAGTCATTGCACACCCAGTTCTACCACGGCTCCGATCCCATTCCCGATCCCCTCCTACCCATCACTCCTGCAAGTGGGGTCCATGGGGACCCCCCTGTCTCATCCCCAAACCCAAGGGGCTGTGTGGCCAAGGGCAGAGCCAGTGATACAGAGCCATGTCCTTGCCAGGATCACCCCCAAAACGACACAGAGGGAGCAACCCCATGGGGAAAGTGCCCCCTGAGCTGCCTCTATGAGGGGCTCTGGGCTTCCCAGGAGGAGCCAGATTCCTGCTCACACCCAGGAATCACTTCCTGGTCCTGGAAGCACCCAGAGCCAGGCCGGGGCTGTTGGGGTCGTCGGAAGCTGGTATTTAACTGCTGTTAATAAATGGGGGGTGGAAACAAAGCCCCCTTGGTTGGGGGGGAGAGTTCAGGGGACTCCCAGCCCCAGCCTGGCAGAGCCGAAGGTGCCACCACCGGGAAGCCCTGACCCTGCAGATGGGGAGGACACGGGGGTGCCCGTCCCTGGTGCTGCCACCCCTGGGTGCCCGTCCCCATGGTGCTGGGTGCGGCCGAGCCTGAAGTCAACAGCAGCAGCCACTTCCCAGCTATGACAAAAGCCGGATGGTGCCAAGTGCCGGAGTCCAGCTCCCCCCGGGTTCGCTCTGTTTGCTCTGCCCCAGCTCACAGCCTGCTCTTTGTCCCCACTGCATCTGGGATCCTGCCCCACACGGAAGGGAGGGAGAGCAGGGAGGTGTCAGCGCGGATTCGGTGCCCGCAGGCTCGGCTGCGCCCATCCCCGTGGTATCTGGGCTCCCAGCGCCGGGATGGGTGGGAGACCCCATCTCCCTTCCGCCGTCCCCACTGTCCCCTCTCACTGCCACCCACCCCAATGGCAACCCAATCCATGGGGCACGATCCTGTCCCGAGAGCCAGTGACCGGGAGAGCAAAGACAGAGCCAGGGAATGGGGGGACCTGACCCAGGGGACCCAGGGCTGCAGCACCCCATGGGGCCGGGATCCCCCCGGCTGCACCGGCTCTGGAGAGCGCAGCCTGGCCCCATGTGGGTAAATATTAACCAGAGCCAGCACGCAGCGCTGCAATGATTGGGATTTATTATGTCCAAGCTTGGCCAAGCAGGGGGGGGGAACAGGGAGAGGAACCCCCAGGATGGGGTCCCCTGCTTACAGGGAGATGGGATGCGGTGGTGGCAACGCACAGCCACGAGCACGGGTGGCGTTAATGCCACGATTCAATAAATTATTGCACAATTAAATCAGTTCTTGCACACTCCCAGGGCTCTAACCAGTGGTGTCGGGGTTGGGGATCATTGAGGTCTGTCTTGGTCCATCCACAACCATGAACGTGATGAATTCAGCAGGAGCAGGTGGGGAAGGAGCCGGTCAATGGGGCTGGAGCAGAGCCCCACACACCCACAGCACCCCCCCTCCCAGTGCTGGGTGCGGAGCAGGGCAGCTTCCGACCCCATTCCCAAGGGATAAGCACGGACAACGCTCCCAATGGCCAGGGGACAGCGGTGGCATCAGGGTGACAAGCGCTCGAAGACCCACGGGCCCTCGCCGAGGTGGCTCATGGCACCCAGGGGCTCGGAGCCGTCCCGCAGCCGCCGGAAGACAATGCGGTCGTGCAGGCGGTTGGTCTGCCCCTGCCAGAACTCCACCACGTCCGGGTGCAGGATGTAACCCCCCCTGGCACAGGACCACGGGGCTCAGTGGGGGCCGGCGGGCAGCAGCCCCGCGCCGCAGCACCCCGCAGCACTCACCAGTACGGCGGCTTCGGCACCGGCACGTCCCGGTACCGCTCCTCCAGCTCCGCGTTCCTCTTCCTTAGGTACTGCAGGGGAAGCGGGTGAGCGGGAGGGAAGCACCAGAGCTGCCGGGGCCATTCCGTGGGGAGCGGGGTGGCTGCTCACCTCCCTGTCTGGAATGACGGTGCTCTGCCGGCTCACCACAGCCCCGATCTGGCTGCTCCTGGGGCGGGAATGGAAGTACCGCTCCGATTCCTCCTCCGGCAGCCGCTTCACCGAGCCCTCGATGCGGACCTGTGCCGGGCACCGTCACGCCATCAATGGGGCCTCAGAGACCCCATGGGAGGAACTGCCCCGACCACCCCAATAATGGGCACTTCTCATCCCCCTCATCCAAGTGGGAGCCCCAAACTCCCACCCCAAGTGCGGAGCGCCCACGTGCCAAGGGCCTAACCTATGGGTGCTCCCTCTGCTCCCCATATCCCCGGGGGAACACAACTCACCTGCCGGTTGAGGGGCTCCCAGTAGAAGACCAGGGAGGCGAAGGGATTCATATCCTGGGATGCGATGGGGAGAAGACGTGAGCGACCAGAGGAACCCCACAGGTGTGCGGTGCAGGACCCAACCTGGGGCTGCTTCACCTCTCTGAGAGCCACAGCCCCGGTGTTCCCCTGCCTTGGATCCCCCATAGCTGCAGCCTCACCAGCTCCTTCCCCTTGCGGCTCTCGTGGTTGGTGAAGAAGCGGAAACCATCCTGCCCGAAGCCCTTCAGCAGCACCATGCGGGCCGAGGGCTTCCCGTCCCTGCAGAGGGGATCATAGAAACACCATGGGATGGGTTGGGTTGGAAGGGACCTTAAAGCTCCTCCAGCTCCAACCCCTGCCACGGGCAGGGACCCCTTCCACTGGAGCAGCTTGCTCCAAGCCCCTGTGTCCAACCTGGCCTTGAACACTGCCAGGGATGGGGCAGCCACAGCTTCTCTGGGCACCCTGTGCCAGCGCCTCAGCACCCTCACAGGGAAGAGCTTCTACCCATCCCATGTGGCTCCATGCCCCACGGATGCTGTGCACTGCAGCCATGGGTGTCCCCAGCATCATCCCCAGCAACCCTGCTCTGTCCTCACAGGCTGGGGGGCTCCAGCTCTGCTCCTTGCCTAAGAGCTCATCTCATCTCCCCTCAGGCAGGTTCAAGCCATTCCCCTTGGCCTGTCCCTACATCCCTTGTCCCAAGCCCCTCTCCAGCTTTCCTGCAGCCCCTTCAGGCACTGGAGCTGCTCTCAGGTCTCCCCTTCAGGAGCCTTCTCTTCTCCAGGCTGCCCCAGCCCAGCTCTCTCAGCCTGGCTCCAGAGCAGAGCTGCTCCAGCCCCCGCAGCATCCTTGATGCACGGGGACGATCCCCTCCCTCCATGACCATGATGCTCCCCTTGAGGCTCTCACCTCTCCAACCCATCCAGATCCCAATGGGAAGCTCCGTGTCCTTCCGTGTCCCCCCCATATCCCCCTCCCCACCCTCACCTGGTGCAGGTCGCCAAGCACATGGCATTGGCCTCCCCGATGTCCGGGCAGCTCACGGCCTCCTCGAACCAGGCTCGGAACTGCTGGATGGGGTCACGGGAGACCAAGTTCTGCTCCTCGAAGGCCTGGGGACAGCGGGGACACGGTGAAGGGGGGGGGCACAGCAGAGACAAGGGCACGACCAAGGCATGGATCCCCCCCCCCCCAACCCCGGGTGATCCATGCAGGGGATGGGGTGACCCCAGCTCCGTGGTAAGGGGGGGAACACGGGGGGGGTCACCCCAATAGAGGGGCACAATGAGCACGGGGGGGGGGGGGGGGGCACCCCATTCCCACTGTCACCACCAGCACGTGTGTGGGGCACTGCAGGCCTCGGGCCAGCCCTGGGCGGGGGGGGGGGGGGGCACGGCGGCCCCAGGTCACAGCCGGACCAGGGACCCATCGCCCCCCCCCGCCCCGTTCGTGTCCTCCTCACCCCCCGTCCCCACCTCCTCGTCCCCCCGGTAGCTCTTCCGCAGCGGCCCCAGGTCCATCCCGGCCGATGGGCGCCGAGCCGAGCCCGGCGGAGCCAACCGGACACCCCCCGCCCCGCAATGGTCCCGTCCAAGGCCATGCCGCTCCCCGCCTCACAGCCAATAGGAAGCGTCCTCCGCAGTGACGGATGAGGAGCGCTTGGAGCCAATTGGAGGAGGAGGGGGCGGGACGAAGAAACCCGGAAGGAGTGCGAGGGCTGTAAACAGACACATGGAGGAGCTCTTAAAGGTACAGCGTCCTGCGGGGGAGCCGGGGGAAGGGGGACACGGGCTGCAGGACAGTGGAGAGGAGCGGGGGGGAAAGAGGAAGGTGGGGGCAAGACATGGGGCTGAGGGGAGGGGGGGGACCCTGGGGATGGAGGCAATGGGGACAGAGTGGGGGCAATGGGGATGGAGGCAATGGGAACAGAGTGGGGGCAATGGGGATGGAGGCAATGGGAACAGAGTGGGGGCAATGGGGATGGAGGCAATGGGAACAGAGTGGGGGCAATGGGGATGGAGGCAATGGGGATGGAGGCAATGGGGACAGAGTGGGGGCAATGGGGATGGAGGCAATGGGAACAGAGTGGGGGCAATGGGGATGGAGGCAATGGGGATGGAGGCAATGGGGACAGAGTGGGGGCAATGGGGATGGAGGCAATGGGGACAGAGTGGGGGCAATGGGGATGGAGGCAATGGGAACAGAGTGGGGGCAATGGGGATGGAGGCAATGGGGATGGAGGCAATGGGGACAGAGTGGGGGCAATGGGGATGGAGGCAATGGGGACAGAGTGGGGGCAATGGGGATGGAGGCAATGGGAACAGAGTGGGGGCAATGGGGATGGAGGCAATGGGAACAGAGTGGGGGCAATGGGGATGGAGGCAATGGGGATGGAGGCAATGGGGACAGAGTGGGGGCAATGGGGATGGAGGCAATGGGGATGGAGGCAATGGGGACAGAGTGGGGGCAATGGGGATGGAGGCAATGGGAACAGAGTGGGGGCAATGGGGATGGAGGCAATGGGAACAGAGTGGGGGCAATGGGGATGGAGGCAATGGGAACAGAGTGGGGGCAATGGGGATGGAGGCAATGGGGATGGAGGCAATGGGGACAGAGTGGGGGCAATGGGGATGGAGGCAATGGGAACAGAGTGGGGGCAATGGGGATGGAGGCAATGGGGATGGAGGCAATGGGGACAGAGTGGGGGCAATGGGGATGGAGGCAATGGGGACAGAGTGGGGGCAATGGGGATGGAGGCAATGGGAACAGAGTGGGGGCAATGGGGATGGAGGCAATGGGGATGGAGGCAATGGGGACAGAGTGGGGGCAATGGGGATGGAGGCAATGGGGACAGAGTGGGGGCAATGGGGATGGAGGCAATGGGAACAGAGTGGGGGCAATGGGGATGGAGGCAATGGGAACAGAGTGGGGGCAATGGGGATGGAGGCAATGGGGATGGAGGCAATGGGGACAGAGTGGGGGCAATGGGGATGGAGGCAATGGGGATGGAGGCAATGGGGACAGAGTGGGGGCAATGGGGATGGAGGCAATGGGAACAGAGTGGGGGCAATGGGGATGGAGGCAATGGGGACACAGCTGGGACAAGAGGGGGGTGCAGGAGATGGGGGACCCGGACCCCAGAACCCCCCCTCAGACCCAGCCGGGGCGGCGGGAGGTACCGGGCACATCCCTGTGTCCCCCATGGGGAGGGGGCTGTGAGCCCCACACTGAGCCCGCTCCATCCCCGGGCTGGGTGAGGAGACCGCGGCAGCGCAGGGTGACGGTGCTGGTCTCGGGCACCCGCTGCATTGGTAACGGCAGCAGGGCCAGGAGTCACGGGAATGGGTTGGAAGGGAGCTTAGAGCACATCCAGCTCCAACCCCTGCCACGGGCAGGGACCCCTTCCATAGAGCAGCTTGCTCCAAGCCTCTGGGCCTTGAGCACTGCCAGGGATGGGGCAGCCACAGCTTCTCTGGGCACCCTGTGCCAGCGCCTCAGCACCCTCACAGGGAAGAGCTTCTGCCTTGTATCCAACCTGAACTTGCCCTCTTCCAGTTTGAACCCATCACCCCTTGTCCTATCACTACAGCCCCTGATGATGAGCCCCTCTCCAGCATCCAGCCATGGGGACCCAGTCTGTGGGTGGCACTGGGACAGATGAGGGGAGCACAGATGGAGTGGGACGGGGATGTGCTGGTCCTGACCACGGCTGCGCACCCGCTGTGACCCCACAAGCATCAGTAACAGCAACGTCCAGTTCCTCAAGAGGCTGGTGGGGCTGCTGGAGAGCAACATGGCCACAGAGGTGAGTCTTGATCCCCACGTCTCCCTGTGTACCCATCCCATGTGGCTGCGTGCCCCACGGATGCTGTGCACTGCAGCCATCGGTGTCCCCAGCATCATCCCCAGCAACCCCACTCTGTCCCCAGAGGCTGGGGGGCTCCAGCTCTGCTCCTCACCCACCCCAAGGGAGCAGAGCTGTGCCCCGGCTGACATCCCCCGGAGCCCCCACCGCCTGCCTGGAGGCTCCAGCCCCTGCCCCAGCACCGAGGAGGGGCCCGGCCCCCCCCAGCCATGCTCACTGACACCCCATGCCTCTGGGAGCAGAGCAGGGGGCACCCGGTGCCCGGCAGCCCCTGCGCTGGGCATCTCCTGTCGAGGTGGGTGGAAGGGCTGGATGGGGCTCCTGGGGTGTCACCGGGCACGGAGCTGTGGTTGGAGTGGAGGGGACACAGAATTGGCCCCAAGGTCTGGAGTGTGTCAGAGTACCCCAGGGTCTCCATCCAGGACCCAGACGAGAGCTCTCCCCCTTCACCCCAGGAGAACGGGAGGCCCAGAGTGGAGCTGGTGCCCAACCTGGGGGTCTGCATCACCCACCCGCAGCTGCACAACCTCTTGCAGGGTGCCAGGGACAAGCCCAAGCTCATGACCCAGTGCCTGCTCAGGTTCTTCACATGGGAGACGCTGGCCCGGTCCTCAGCCACGGGGCAGTGGAGGGGATGAGCCCAGAGCTCTCTCTGGTGCCGCAGACAGGGAGAGGGAGGACCAGGAGGGATGTGCCGGGATGTCGGGATCGTGTCCTTGTGCTTACAGCCGGAGGATTCACCCTGCAGACACCAACTGGGGCAGCCCCATGGTGGTAGAGCTCATGGCCACGTGTCCTGCTCGCTCCAGCAGCAGGGAATGGGTGCTGGCAGGGATAAGGGCTGGTTGCGATGCCAGTGCTGGTGTCCCTCAGTGCCACATGCTGATCCAGCAGCCCTGGGGGCACATCCAGGCCTGTTTTCCTGTAAATCAGTTAATTTCCAGCGACGTTTGGGATTCCTGTTAATAAACCCACTTGGTTTCTGGCCGAGGAAGCTCTTTGCTGCCCTGGTCCCACACGGTGCCAGCTCAGGAGAGCAAGGACCATGGTGGCAGACGCTGCACTCTGGTGACTACGTTTATTTAGCAAGGCAAGCTCCCGGCTGGCTCCACAGCTCCAGCTCATGGAGTGTAAGAGCTCTGTCGCCTCCTGCAGGAAACAACCCTGGGCGGTTACAACTCCAAAATAAAGCAGATTTGGTTTAATTTAAAAGCTCCAAAATAACAAGCCATATTGGTTTTTTTTCTTTTTGAAACACGTAGTAAACACAAAAGCAATAGAATCTATGGTACAATGTACACTATACACAGGGTGGAGGGCAGCAGGGGAGGGAAAGGGACTCGCGTCCCGAAATCGGTGAGGAAATGCCACGTCGCTTGGGAAAGGGGAAGTGGGGAGAGCGAAATCATTGGAGGGAAAGGAAAAACAAGCCTTCAGTGTGGGAAAACAAGGCAATGTTAGGAGAAAAAGGGGGCAAAACGGGCAGCAGAAATTAAATAGATTCCAAAGAGTGCTCACAAAACACAGTGCTCGTCATCGGGAGCGGGGAGCGTAAGGCAACGATCTCCATAGAAAAAAAGGGACCTTCCAAAGGGGTTATATAGATATTTATAGCTATTTATAGACTTTAAATATAAAGTAGGAATGTGCTGTGGAGCCTCTCCCAGCCCGCCCGCACCGGCGTGCGCAGTCCCCTCCGTACCCGGCTCCGGAATGCTGCTGGATCCCGGGATCCGCAGGGAGGTTCGGCCCCTCGCCCCCTTTGGAAGCGGCTGCTGCGTGGTGCCATCGGCCAAGGGCAGGAGGATGTCCCCGAGGGCTCCTCTCCGTGGCACTGCTGGGTGGGGACCCCCTGGCTGGGCTCTGTCCGCTCGGCCGTGGGGCAGCCCCTGGCCCTACAAGTTCTTGGTGACCAGGTGGGTTTTATAGTGCTTCGTGAGGTGGTCGCTCCGCATGAAGCGCTTCTGGCACTGCGCGCACTCGAAGCGCTTGTCACCTGCGGGGAAGAGCAGATGTGGGTCAGGAGGTGACAGCCACCCACCTGCTTCTAGCCCTACAGCCACCGCCGACAGGGGGGCAGCAACACCCATCCAACCGGTCCCCATTGCAGCCCCTTCCCGTGTCACACCCCCCATCAGAGACAGCTGAGACCCCCCCAGGACAACTTCGTGGTGGCCCGGATCCATCCCAATCCTTATCCGAGCGCATCCCAAGGGCTGGGCTGGAGGCAACGGGGCACAGACCTGTGTGCGTGCGCGCGTGCCGCTGCAGCTCGTCGCTGCGTGTGAAGCGCTTCCCGCAGAACACCCAGTTGCAGACGAAGGGGCGCTCGCCCGTGTGCAGGCGCACGTGGGCGCGCAGCAGCGAGGTCTTGCGGAAGGTCCTGCCGCACTCGGGGATGTGGCAGATGTGCTTCTTCTTCCCTGCATCGCCCGGCCTGCGGAGGGAAGCCAGGGGTAGGAACACCGTGGAATGGGTTGGGTTGGAAGGGAGATTAAAGCTCATCCAGTTCCAACCACATGCCACGGGCAGGGACCCCTTCCATAGAGCAGCTTGCTCCAAGCTCCTGGGCCTTGAACACTGCCACGGATGGGGCAGCCACAGCTTCTCTGGGCACCCTGTGCCAGCGCCTCAGCACCCTCACAGGGAAGAGCTTCTGCCTTGTATCCAACCTGAACTTCCCCTGTTTCAGTTTGAACCCGTCACCCCTTGTCTTATTGCTACAGCCGCTGATGAAGAGCCCCTCTCCAGCATCCAGCCATGGGGACCCAGTCTGTGGGTGGCACTGGGACAGATGAGGGGACCACGGACGGAGTGGGATGGGGATGTGCTGGTCCTGCCCATGGCTGAGCACCCTCTGTGACCCCGCAGGCATCAGTAACAGCAACGTCCAGTTCCTCAAGAGGCTGGTGGGGCTGCTGAAGAGCAACGTGGCCACAGAGGTGGGTCTTGATCCCCACGTGTCCCTGTGTACCCATCCCATGTGGCTGCGTGCCCCACGGATGCTGTGCACTGCAGCCATGGGTGTCCCCAGCATCATCCCCAGCAACCCTGCTCTGTCCTCACAGGCTGGGGGGCTCCAGCTCTGCTCCTCGCCTAAGAGCTCATCTCAGTCTCCCCTCTTTCAGGTTAAAGCCGTTCCCCTTGGCCTGTCCCTACATCCCTTGTCCCAAGCCCCTCTCCAGGTTTCCTGCAGCCCCTTTAGGCCCTGGAGCTGCTCTAAGGTCTCCCCTTCAGAAGCCTTCTCTTCTCCAGGCTGCCCCAGCCCAGCTCTCTCAGCCTGGCTCCAGAGCAGAGCTGCTCCAGCCCTTACAGCATCCCCATGCCCTCCTCTGCCCTTATCCATCCCCTCCACGTCCCTCTTGTGCTGCTGCCCCAGAGCTGGACCAGGAGTGTAGGGGGGAGTCCCCAGAGCACCGCAGAGGGGGAGAATCCCCTCCCTCAACCTCCTCAGCCTCAGGTATGGATGCTGGTCCTGCAGGGCTGCCCATGTCCCGCTCCACACTCACTTCTTGTCCCCATCCTTGCAGTTGGGGCAGGTACACGCCATCCGCCGCCTCTTCTCCCCGGGCTGAGCCTCTCCGGACAGCGCTTGCTCCATCTGGAGCTGGATCTGGGTCGGGCTCAGGCCGCTGATGGTCAGGTTGTTGCCGGACACGTTCTGCACAGTGAGCTGCTGCTGGCCTGGGGAGGAAAAGGGGAGGGGGGGGAAGTCAGGCTCTGCCCCTCAGCTCTCACCCACACATCCAACCCCTGCTCAACTGGGGATAGCAGAAACCGTCCAGAGGTGGCTGGATGGAGGCAAGACCCCCCCCATTGCATGTGGGACAGGACACCCCAGGTCTCAAAGCCCCCAACCCCGCATGCAGCACTGCCCCTCCACGTGCTGAGCCCCCCCTAAAGGTGGAGGTTTTGCGGTGGGGGACAGGAAGAGGGGGGGGGGTGGTAAGTCCCTTTTTTTCTGAATATACTGTGCGGTTTTTCAAAGTTTTTGGTTGTTTTTTGACCCTTCGGGGTGGGGCAAGGACCAAAGAGGAAACAAAAAAAGAAACTTTGAAAAAACGTGCAATATATTGACCAAAAAAAACGGGACTTACCCCGGAGCCCCAGGGGCCGCTCCACGCTCGGGCGTCACGGAGGCGGCAGCCTGGGCCGTGCACAGCACCCGGCAGCCGTGACAGGGGCTGGAAAGAAGAAGAAGGGGAGGGGAGGGAGGGGGGGGGTGTCAGCGTCAGCAAGCGGGATCACTGCTCCCGGAGCAGTGGGAAGGATGAGGAGGAGCGGGATGTGAGAGCGGAGCCAAGGAGGGGTGAGAGCAGGGAGGGAAGGTGGGCGCAGGCAGAGCGAAGGGGCCACGGTATCCATTGGGAAGCCGAGGGGCTGGGCAGCCCTTTGGAAGTGCTGCCGTGTTCGGGCTGAGACCAGGCTCAACCCATTGCGTACATGGGCAGCACCCAGCAGGTCCTACTTGTCCCTACCCCAGCCAGGGCTGCAACACAGTCCCTGCCCTGCGGCACAGCAGCAACATCTGCCTGTGGCATCGCTCCTGTCTGGCCCCATGTTCACATGCAAAGCAGCAATTAAACACCCCCTTAAAGCAGCCCCGGCGAGGACGGTGGCTGCGGAGGAGGAGGAAACCACACTGGGCACTGCTTTATGCTGACAGCATTTGGTTAAGCCAAGAAAGAACAGCTTCCAACTGCAAACCCCAGGCAGGGCTGCTGCTGAGGGAGAAACCAGCACGAGGCAGCAGGTCTGTCTGGATCAGAGAGCAGATAAAACTCCCTCAGACACAGCTCCCTCCCCTCGGCTCCCTGTGGCACCCACGCCACCGGGCTGGGGAAGGCTTGTGGGGCAGGACAGGAGGACAGAGCTGCTGCTGGGACGTGCCTCTGCTGGCGGCTGTCTGCGGCTCATAGACTGCTCCAGCTGCCAGCCAGGGCCACATCTGGCTGGTTTTGGCTTAAAGCACTTGACCCACAGAGGTGAGGGGCTGGGTTCACTCTCTTGCAATGGTGATCCCTCGCTTACAGAGCCTGTGTGTGTGAAAGCAGCTCTCCTGGAAGCCCAAACCAGCAGCCATCGATGGTGATGGGGTGATCTTTGGAAGGGGCTGCTGGTGGGAAAACCCTGGTGCACCATGGCCCAATGCCTGGCTGGTCCCAGCTCTCGGGGAGAAACACTGGCACAGGGTGCCCAGAGAAGCTGTGGCTGCCCCATCCCTGGCAGTGTTCAAGGCCACGTTGGACACAGGGGCTTGGAGCAAGCTGCTCCAGTGGAAGGGGTCCCTGCCCGTGGCAGGGGTTGGAACTGGATGAGCTTTAAGCTCCCTTCCAACACAAACCATTCCATGGTTCTATGTAAGAATAAAGACACCCATCTCACCCCAAGGGGCTGAGCCTCCCCCTGCCCTGAGCTCAGGAGCAACCAGAGCTGGTCTGGGCTCAGCCCTGCCCTCAGACGTGTCCTGCAGCTCGGCACAACCACAAAGCTCTGACCCTGCAGGCGCCTGCCTCTCCAACCCACCCTCCCTGACACAGCTCAACCAGGACAGGCTTGGAAACACCCAGCAGAGCCCCCAAAGAGGCACCCTACGAAAACACTCGGGGAGTGTTTTCTCCTGGAGAAGTCGATGACATTTAACAACCAGCAACACTCAAAACCTCAGGGCACAAAGGGATCTGTTTATAAATCTACAATCAGCCAGCTGCAAAGCAAAGCGGTGCCGCTAGCATGGGGGGCTTCGTGTTCCACCTCCTGCTGCCCCACATGGCACTGCCCACCTCCGGTGTTGGTGATGGTGACAGGCACACCCTGCACTTGCACGCCGTTGATGTTGATGGTCTGCATGGCCTGTGCCGCGGCCGCCAGCTGCGCCGCGCTCAGGCTGATGATGCCTCCGGCCGGAGCGATCTTGGGCAGGGTGCGCTCCTTGCGCACGGCGGCTTTCCTGCTGCTGCTGTTGCTGCTGCTGCTGCTGCCGCCGCTGGAAACCCCCGTGCCGGAGCTGCGGGACACGGGGCTGCTGCAAGAGGTCCCAGACGGAGCCACGGTGATGGCCGGGGCTTCCTGGAGCAGCACTGTCTGCAGCTCACCCGATGGGGTTTTGAAGTAGACCTGAGGGCAAGGTGGGGGGGGGAGAAAAGAGGGATGAGAACAGGCACTGACACCAGGGAGAGCCCCACTCCACCGTCCCCACATAACCCCAGGCATGCCATGAGCCAAGGAGCAGGTGTCCAAGCATTTAAAGACCCTTTATGGGCCTCCTGAAGAAAGGTCCCAGCCTTTTGTGGCTGCTCCCACCTTGCAGCCAAAGGCAACACAGTCCGACTGTGAGCCCTCATCTCCCCAGAGCAGGCTGCCTCATCCCAACCCCAGCTGGTGGCACAGCAGAGCTTCCAAGGACACTGTGCTCCTACAGGTCCTTCCAGTGTGTGAAGGGGGCTAAAAGGATGCTGCAGAGGGACTCTCCATCAGGGACTGCAGTGATAGGACAAGGGGTGATGGGTTCAAACTGAAAGAGGGGAAGTTCAGGTTGGATACAAGGAAGAAGTTCTTCCCTGTGAGGGTGCTGAGGCGCTGACATAGGTTGCCCAGAGAGGTGGTGAATGCTCCATCCCTGGCAGTGCTCAAGGCCAGGTTGGACAGGGATTCTGGTGACACGGTCTAGTGTGAGGCACCCCTCCCACGGCAGAGGGCTGGAACTGGATGATCTTAAGGTCCTTTCCAACCCATTCTATGGTTCTATGGTAAAAGCAGATGGCCAGCAAGGGAGACTTCATAAAGCCCTGCTGAGAGAACCACTGTGCTCCCAACCCTCCACACAAGCAATCCCTGAAGTGGATGCCAAGTTGGGAATCTGGTCCTCCCAAAAACCTTTCTAAAACACCCGGGTGAGGGCTCAGAGGAGAACCAGTGCAGAGGACCTGGAGGAGGAAGAGGAGGAGGACTCAGGAGGCGGTACCTGGGTAGGAGCAGGTTCCGTCGTCTGGATCTGGAAGTTCTGGGAGGGTTTTTGGGGGACGGTGGGGAGCGTGGCCGAGGCAGCCTGCACCACACGCAGGGCCTGCTGAGGGATCTGCACCACTTGCTGCTCCTGCTTGGGCTGCACCACTTGGACCTGCTGCACCACGGCCGGCTGGCCGGAGCCGGGGCTCTGCACGATCAGCAGGTTGTTGCCCGCTTGGATGATGTTCTCCGCCGTGGTCTCTATCAACACGGTCTCCACCTGCTCGGCCACGGCCACCGTGGTGGTGGGCTGGGTGGGGGACATGGCTTTCTTCCGAGGCTTTTTGATGGGTTTTGAGGTGCTTTCTGCCACGAGCTGAGCCTGGGCACCCGGCTCGGCAGCGTTCACCAGGTTGTTCACGGGCAGGGTGAGAGTCACGTTGCTGCCGCCACCGCTTAACTTGACCACGCTGCTCGTGCCCTGCGCTGGGGAAGCTCCAGCCTTCTGCACCGGAGCTGGTTTGATGGGCACGGGCTTGTGAGAGGAAGACGAAGAGGTGAGGATGGCTTGATTCGTGCCCGGAATAATCTGGATCTGGTTGGGCTGCACCTGGATGGTCTGACCCCCCGTGGCCTGGATCTGGGGCACCGCCTGGTACTGGATGTTGGTGGTGGACGAGCGGGTCCCCTTGTTGATGACAGTTGGGTTCTGGATGGCAAAAACCAGCTGCCCCCCGGGGTAGGAGGTGCTGACCTGAGAGCCCTGGATCTGGAAGACGTTCCCTTTCGACGACAGGATCCCAAAGCTGTTCTTACTGGAGCCCAGCGGGAGCGGAGCGGGTTTGATGGGGACGAGCTTGCGCGGCGTTGGCTGAGGAGGGGCAGGAGGAGTCACGACGGCTTCTGCTGCGGGGGGGCCGATTTTGCTACATGTCGCTGCGAGGAGGGCAAGAGGAGAAGGTTGGGAGTCCTGGGGAGCAAAGGAGGAGATGGGCACGTTAGAGACAGGGGCTTGTGCCACACAGCTGGAGATGCGGCCAGCGAAGGAGAGGGTACACGCTGTCAAAAGCGAGCCAGTCCATGCCAATGAGACACCCCTTGTTAAGGGAACTGCTTAATTACCCCCTACATGTGTGTCTAAATGAATCCCCTCACGCTGCTTTCAGCCATCAGGCTGGGGACCACCTTTTACTCGTGTGCCTGTGTTCTTACAGCCTCCACAAAGCTCCAAGTACCCTGCAATGATGCTGGTATCACGTAACCTGGAGTGTCCCAGGCAGCTTTAATTCCAAGACCCCCTTGTGCTAACATGATCCATGAGGAAAACACATGGAAACAACACCCCAGAAGAGCTGGGAACAAGCCCAGAGGGCAGCTCCCAGCCTGCCCTGCAATCTGCCCTCCTCCTGATGCTGCAATGCTGGCTGCAGCGGAGGCAGGAGGGGCTGAAGGACGTGGTGTTTGCTGTCCTGCACCCCAGGACACGGCCCTGCACTCACCTGGGCGCTGGAGGCGGCCGGCTGCAGGTATTCACTGGGGCTGACGGCAGCAGTCGCAGCCATGCTGCCTCTGGATCTGCAAGGAGGAAGCACAGGGATGGAGGAGTGAGACCAGCAGCAAGAGCTGCAGCACAAGGCCCCGATGCCCGAGGGGCTCTCCCTTCATCCTCCAACCACACTCATAAGCCTTCAACAGGGGGGGTTATAAAGGGGCCAGAGAAATCCCATCATCTCATCACCTTCTCCCTCCATTCCATGGGACCTCTGTTTGCCAGCAAAGGGAAGTGGCAGTTACAGTGAGCTGCAGCCTTCACCTGACCGGCACTGACAGAGCCCATCACTGGATCCCCTGGGCTGACAGAGCCCATCACCATGCCGAGTCTCTATGGAATTCAAAGGCACTTAAGGGACTAGAGGGGGAATGTGACGATGGGGGTGATACTTTGTCCTTTCCTTGAGAGTTTGGAATCTCCAACACCCATTCCTTCTGCTGCCCCCAACGCTGCAGGGTGATAACACCGAGGCCGAGGCTCTTCTTGTCACTGGGGCAGCTACAGGAGCTTCTTTTGAAGGGTTCAAGCCAGCAAAGCCAGGGAAAGAGACTCCTAAACCCTCACCCTTTGCTAAAGCTTTTGTTCTGGACTAGGAAGACATTTCATCCTTGACATCTCCCCCATCCCACAGCCACTTGTGTGGCTCCACACCTTGACAGTATTTGCCTCGATAAAGTGCCAGAGGGAATCTGTCTGAGCTGGAACGCTCTTGATGACGGCTGCTGACAACGGCCTGACTTCACAGAGGGAATTATGGCTCTCTGAGGAACGTGCCTACTTCAGGTTTACCCCAAAGCGCAGCCCCATGCATCCCCATGGCAATGGGAAGCCAGTGCTGTGGGATGCTTGGATGCAGGAGCAGCGGAAAGCACTGGCACCAGGAATGGCTCATACCCAGCCAGAAAAACAACTGCTCGGTAAGCACAGCGAGAGGCTTCCCGTGGCTTACAGGGAGCAGGCAAGACCCACATCCCAGGCCTGGCTCTGGCACAGCCTCCACTGCTGCTGCAGGAGATCCATGGGTGGGGAAAACAAGGTGTGGGGTTTGTTTAAAGGGAGCAAACTCCCCGCTCCAGCAGCATCGCTCACAACGGAGGCACCAGCATGGGGCAACGTCGAGCACCCAACCTCAGGAAGGGCAAACCTGACCTTGCTTGAAGCAGCATCCGCTGCCAGCACACGGATGCAGGAACCCCAGACACAAGGCACATCTGCTTTGGGAAAAGAAGGGGTTCCTTCACTTTGAAGGCATCAGCGAGCAGGGACAGCGCTGGAGCTGTTCTGCCCCACACAAGGGCCGGCTGTCAGGTCTTAATCCAGCTTAAGGCTGGGAGGAAAAACCCTGTTGGTAATTGGGATGCAGGCAACACTGGCATGGAAGCAAGCCCTCAGCTCCTCATCCATCCCGAGCCAGCCATCTCCTCCCTGGGAACACGAAGCCTTTCACTAAACAGAAAGCACTGAGGAAGGGAGCCCCGAGCCAAGTCACCAAGGAGCCCGCTTGCCCACGGCAGGCAGCTCCCCCCTCGCTGCTCCCGAGGCTCTGTCACAGCCCTGCCATGAACCAAGCACATAAATCCCTTGGGAAGGGTCAGCTCAGAGTCCCTGACGGCACCGCATGGGAATTCCAACCCCATTCCTTAGCGAAGGGCATCCCATTCCCTGGGAGCTGGGGCAATCTCCCGGCGCTGGAAGCAATCGGACGCTTGCGCCCAGCCAGCGAGCTGGCTGCTGATAAAAGGCTGGTTTCTCCCCAGAGAGCTCAATGGCTGCACCCTCCCTTTCAGAGCAGAATTAGGGCACCGCTGAGGATTAACAGCCCTGACTACCAATAAAGAGCACTGCTGAGCTGGCCGGAGACACACGCACATTCCAGGAGGGAGCCCATTAACCCCAACCAACAACAAGGGATAATGACTGGGGGAGCAGAGCCCTGTGCCCGCAGTCACGGTGCAATCCCTCCACCCGTTTCTCACTCGCCCGACTCCAGGTCCCAAGTCCAGCAGTGACAGTTTCACATCCCGAGGGTACAATCCTGCTCCCGGCGCAGTGAAACCAAAGCGCAGCTTCGGCCAGGCCAGACCTGGGAATGGGACCAGTGCCACCTGCAAGGAATGCTTTGGGATCAGCCCTGGGTACAGACCCTCCTGAGGGGCAGGAGCTCTCCTCCAGCCCCAGCACCGATGCTGCAGCATCGCTTGCTCCCTGTTACACACTTATTCATGCCTATATATTCCAGGTCCAGTTTACCTTGCCCTAACTCCCAGGCAAGCCTCAAGCAGAAAACTTCTCCCTTAGACACTTTAAGGGCACTAATGCATAAAATGCACTTTTTTCCAGCCATCCTCCTCCTCCTCACCTCATCACAAGCGTGGTTTTGTATGGAAACCATCCCCACACACACCACAACTCTCTCCGCACCCCTTGCCTGCCTTCACCCCTGTAAAAGGGCAAAGCCACCAAACCCTGAGCGATTCCTGGCTCCAGAGCTGTTGCCTTTATCATGTTCTTCAGTGAGCACAACCAAGGCTCGTTCCTAGCCCAGGATACGCAGACCAAGCACAGGGGCTTCTATATAGCTCCAAAACACCCTATGCAGGTGGGACTGGAGAGATGCTGTGTATTTTAGCCCCTGCTTTCAAGCCTTATCACCACAATTTCCTTGTTACCTTCTCCCAGCACCCTTCCAAGAGGAAATACACACGGGGATTCCATTTGGAGGGGACGCTTTGCTCCCCATCTGCCTGATGGAGCTGGTTTGGGGGGGGTGCAGGGGTGCACACAGTCCTAACTTTCAGCACTCATCCACGTTACTATGGTTCTAATTCACCCCTTGAGCATGATGGTGACTCAGAGCCCCCAAAGATCCACGAGAGGGAAACCTCCCTTGGGCTCACGAAGCGGGGTAAGAAAACGGCGGCAGCCCCATTTGCTTACCGAGCCCATACGAAGTATTCAAAGCCGGGCACGGATGAGCGCCGGCACCTGCCTATTTACATGGTAACAGCAGGAAACGGAGCCAAACCCTGAGGGTGAAGCGGCCCGGGTCCCTTTCGCTGCCGCTTTAACCCTGCTCTGGCCCGGCTCCGCTGCCTGCCCCGTGCCCGGTGCCGGTGGAGGGGCGAGGGAGGATTCCCGGCTGCGATCAAGGAGGAGGAAGCCAAGCAGCGGCTGCGATAACGCCCGTCCCGAGGGGCAGAGCGGGACAGGGCTGCCCCCCCCCCCCACCTCCATCACCCGCAGGGTCCCGCACAGACCCCAACAACCCCGCACCCCGGGGGGACCCCACCGCAAACCGAGCCCCCCCCCCCTTCCCTCGGCCCGGCGGTCCCCGGGGAGGCGGGCTGAGGGCTGCGGGCCCGCCCCCGACCGGGCCCCGGCCCCGGAAGCGCCGCCCGCCCGTTGCTCGCAGAGGGCGGGCCGGGGAGGCCGCGCTCCCGTTCCGGGCCCGGTGCCGCCGCTGCCGCCGCACCCCCCCCTCCCCTCTCCGCGCCGCCGCCGCCGCCCCCCCCCCCGACCCCGCAGCGGGCCCGCACAGACCGGCCCGAGCGGCGGCGGCGGCTCCGACCGCTCACGGCGCCATCTTCCTCCTCCGGGGCCGCCCGGGCACCGCCCTTGAGGACCCGCCCTCCGGCGGCCTCTTGACCAATCCGCGTTCCGCTCGGCGGCGCGCTGGCCAACAGACGCCGAGACGTTTTATCGCCGGCCAATCCGTTGCCGTTTGGAGCTTGATGGGCAGCTCCGCCGAGCAATAGGACCCGTGATGGAGTGACAGCTCCGCCAATGGGCAAGGGTCCTCTGAAATGACAGACGGAAGAGGGGGCCCAATGGGAGGGCAGAGATTTGATTGATAGCACAGCTGTCCAATAGGAGTGAGGTCAGCCTGTCACCGCCCGCTGATTGATTGACAAGCCTCAGAGGGGGCGGAGGCGGATGTCCTCGTGGGCGGAGCCACCCGACAGCCGCCTCTCGATTGGTCTATACCCGCCTGATTGACAGGCAGAACACACAATGGAAGACCAGAGACGGCAGAATTCCGCTTCTGATTGGCCGAGAGCGCCTGGCGGGGCGGGTCTGGAACGTTGAAGGCTGATGACGACAGCGGGGTCCCCGCGGGGGTGTCCCGGGGATCCGACCGCTCCTGGGACCCCCCGGCCCCCTCCGTGTCCCGTCCCCCCCCCAGCCATTGCCACCGGGGGCTCCAGCGCCTGTGGGGCCGGGGTCGTCCCCCCCTAACAGCGGGGGAGGAGGACGGGGCACCCCAAGATTGGTGGCACCCAGCCTGAAGGATCCCATCTCCCTGCAGGGATCGGGGTGCTCACAGGGGTTCAGGTCCTCGGGAGGGGGGGGGAGCTCATGGTCCTCAGTCCCCTCGCAGGAGCTGGGGTGCTTGGAGGGCATTGGGGTGCTCTGTCACCTCGCAGCACTTGGGGTCCCCGGTCCCTTCAATGGGGTTGGGGTGCGCAGGGTGCCCAATCCCCTCGCAGGGCTCAGGGTGATGAAGGCGGTCGGGGTCCCCCGTCCCTTCAGAGGGATTTGGGTGCTTGGAGGGGGTCAGGGCACACAGTCCCCTCGCAGGGATCAGGGTACCCAGCAGCTGTGACACCGCCCCCCATCCCTCATCCGGAGCCTCACAGGGGTTCCAAAGCCACCCCATACCCTGCTAGGGGAAGGGGGTTCCCCCATCACCTCCCAGCGCCCCTCACCGCGGTGCCAGGCCTTCCCAGGGCCCCGGGGGGGGGGTTGCCCAGCTGGGCTCCAGCCCCCACAGGGACCAGCACCTCCCACTGGAGCCAAATAATTGCTCGGTGCTTTGTTGTGCAGTGTCTATGGCCCGGGGGCCTCCATTTGTGGGAACTTGCTGTGGCGAGTGCCTTCCTTTTAATTACCTCCCCTCCTCATGCTCCTGCTTACTCACCGCCTGGCACCGGCGCCTCCGACCCCCGCCTCAGCCCCCGGCCCCCTTTCCGACACCCCCCCGGCCCCACACGGGGGTCCCGGTGGTGCCCCTCGGGGTGCTCGC